CTCATGTGGAATAGGCACTCCAGGCTTGGCAGTCCTAGCACAAGCAAGATCTAGCAGCGCTCGTGACTCCACAGTGAAGATCCAAGAAGCACGTCAAAGGGTTGTTTCTCATCCATATCAACTTTGGCTGAGGACTCTAAGGTTGCACAGCGGCCGGTATCGGCGCCTACGTGGCTACCTAACAGTGGGCTAACATATTTTGAGGAACCCCAACCACGTCTGCCGCCACCTACTACAACCGTCACTACATGAATTTGAGGGGCCACCAGCTGGAGTTGGCTACGCAATACACTCAACTAGAACGTCGGTGAAGCTTTTACTCTTCGTGTTTACCAGCCATGGAATGCTATCCCAAATTGTGTTGTTTCCGCCCCCACTTTACCTGTGTTTAACAAACACCCTGATGTTGCCCTGATCCACCTGCATTACGAATTATGGCCTGTGTACCTCGGTAGACAATATAATGTGGCGAACGTTGCACAACCAGCACTAACTCACCCAACAGATCTTGGCTCTTTTATTCATGCCTCTGTGTGGACCATCTGGTGAGTCCACAAAAACGTTTTCATTTTATCACTTTGCTTTCTTCTCAATATGTTGTGGCTCTCATTCCGGCCACCCTACGAGACTTGTTGAGCATCCGCTTTCTTACCCGTTATAAACCATTGTCCCATTGATCATTTGCTCCTATTGCCGTCCATTGTTGGGGTCAGATGTTGAGAATGTTGATATATATATATATATATATATGCAAACGTTTATTAATAGACATAATGCCATAAGAAACCATGGAATTCAAACGAAGGTACAGAAATAGTAAAGGAAAACACAACTAAACAATGCCCATGGTTTCGTCAGAGGGCGAGATACTACCCGGTTGCCCAAGCCGAAGTAGGGTGTTGACTTAGGGTGACACCATCCCGAGCCTTTGGCTGAATAGCCTGTCCGTAAGGCAGCAGAGTGAATTCAGGGAATCGCGACCATTAAGAGATGGTGACTGATTGCTCAGTTCATACGCCTTTCGTTTGTTCTTTTGTCAAACAGGGGCCCAATGCTCCCCAGAACTACAGCATAACGTTGCTGGAATATAATGCTTCGCCAGGATGAAGCAAGGGGCAGTGACTTTATTTAGTGGCGAGTCACGTCCGCCACGTCACAGTGTTGTTAAACAGACATACGTGGCTTGTTATAGGGAGAATACTTGCCAGGCGAAAACCCGCCACGTCCTGGAACACTGCCGCCGAACCATTTGCTGGCAGGAGAAAATCCCGAACCACCCAGCTGGCACCACGAGGAGGTCGTTCGGCAAGCAAGCCCGAGAATAAGGATGTACTGGCGCGATATCTCTCGAAAATACGAAAAGCGACATCACCTTATGTCAGGTCCCAACAACTATTGTATGGTGGGTCAAAACTGATGCCCAAGGAAAGCTTGCCTTAGACGGTGTTAAGAGTCAAAATTTTTGTCTGAAAACGTGGTAGATAGTGCCTTATCCCTTCCTACGATTAATTGCTCCAATTTCCCGAATCGAAATCTTCTCACCGTGTTGTGGGTCGGCAGCATTAGTCGCTCCTATGGCTCGGTTTTCACTGTTTACATTTACCAGCTTCTGGGAGAAGAATAGACACGGTGCAATTTCTGCTTTCTAAATCCAGACATACAGTGTAGCAACAGATATGTCAGTGTGATTGACCTCTTGCTGTGGCAGATGGTTTGTGTCCTCATGCACAGCGTTTTCAACTGTTCAAGTGTCTCGTCCAAAGAACCTGGAGACAAAAATGCAGTGGGTATAGCTCTTGTCCGACCGCAAATTCAACTAAACAAGAAGTGGAATGGTTCGTGGTACCTAGTTTTCTGAGCAATGAGCTCTTTACCTGTTGAATGAACAAGTGGAAAGATTCTGTCCGGTCCACTTTATCATATGCGTCATGTGCTGACATTGGTCAGAGGCCTTCGAAAGTTCTAGAGTAGACAAAGTCCCTAAACTTCCATAGACTTGTACATATCAACACACACACACACACACAGAGAAATTCCTATGCTATTTCAATGAATCACGGGCAATGCTTGTCTTCAGCGAAGCAAAGATTCCCATTCATTAAAATAAAACAATATCAGAAATCAGTTCCGGATGAAGAACTCTGTTCGGTAAACTCTCATCGGACCTAAACGTTTACATAACAATGATTGTGGGGAAGGCGTCAACTCGGGCTGGGATTAAGTTCTGGACTATTTGAATGATCAAAACCAACAACTAGTGACAGAGATAAAAATGGTAAACCAAGTAAACTAAATAAACATGCACACACAAAGCACAGTAGTCCAAAGTAGGTAAAAAAAAACAACCAAATAACTAAGTAACAGTGTCCGTTGGTCAAGGTGGTAGTACCGGCCGTATAAATTGTTTTTGTACACATACTTCCGACTTCAGATGGTGAATGTAGATAGCCTCGGCGACGGATAAGAGCTGTTTGCGGAATCCTTGGGAGAAGTGTTCAGGTAGTGAGTAGATGATTTTGAAATCATTCTCTGAATCTGTATGGCCACATTCAAGGAGGTGCGACATGATTGAGTTGTCTGAAGACCTCATTTCACCCTTGTAAAACCATGCCTGGATGTGTTCACGAATCATCTGAGATAGGCGCCTGGTCGTGCGACAAACGTATCGTGTACCACAGGGGCACGAGCACTGATAAACGATCAACGAACTTTACTTGTGAACACCAACTCGGAAACCTGTTACCTTCTTGGAGGTGGAGGTTATCGGTAACTCGGACGGATCATGCCGCAGAAAGGTACACAGAAAGCACACATGGACTGGGCAGTACACTAGCTTCCACAGCGCAATACCTCTACAGCATAACCGAAGTTTAATCAGATCTCTCGCCTTCAGGGAGCGCTGTATCTGTACACCGGATATCGTCAACGAAGAACTAGGGAGAATCAGCGACGCGTTCAGGGAAATTGGATATCCTGATAAATTTATCATGAAGCATTTGAAGGAACGCAATCGGAAGCCATCAAGGAGCATTGCTCCTAAGAAAGAGCTTTTCATACCTATACCCTTTAAGGGTGATTCTGCAGCTGATATGTTATCCCGATGCCTGAAAGATGCTGTTGAGAAAACTTATTTCGCGGATCGCCTGGGAATCGTTTTTCACAAGCCGTTGCATACAAAACGCTTGAAGGATAGAGTGCCGTTGTTGACCCGTTCAACGATCATTTATCAGTACTCGTGCCCCTGTGGTGCACGATACGTTTGTCGCACGACCAGGCGCCTATCTCAGATGATTCGTGAACACATCCAGGCATGGTTTTACAAAGGTGAAATGAGGTCTTCAGACAACTCAATCATGTCGCACCTCCTTGAATGTGGCCATACAGATTCAGAGAATGATTTCAAAATCATCTACTCACTACCTGAACACTTCTCCCAAGGATTCCGCAAACAGCTCTTATCCGTCGCCGAGGCTATCTACATTCACCATCTGAAGTCGGAAGTATGTGTACAAAAACAATTTATACGGCCGGTACTACCACCTTGACCAACGGACACTGTTACTTAGTTATTTGGTTGTTTTTTTTACCTACTTTGGACTACTGTGCTTTGTGTGTGCATGTTTATTTAGTTTACTTGGTTTACCATTTTTATCTCTGTCACTAGTTGTTGGTTTTGATCATTCAAATAGTCCAGAACTTAATCCCAGCCCGAGTTGACGCCTTCCCCACAATCATTGTTATGTAAACGTTTAGGTCCGATGAGAGTTTACCGAAAAGAATTCTTCACCTATGCTATTTTTCATAATGTACTTATTTGTGCAATTGCCGATCACATATGTCTGCATTACCAAGAGCATGCCCTTGATGGCGCTGACGAGAATAAATTATTTTTTCATTTTTTTACTATTTAACAAGTGAGATCAATGCAGTGGTTTATTTCTCACAGTGGTATTGGCGACTTTTTATTGCCTAACCGAAGACAATGAAACAGTGCTTGCATTTGTGACTGTCCGAATGGAAGGATGTGTTTGATTGGATTTCCTTCAGTGAGTCAGAAAGCCCATGCAACTGATCTGATTGGAGCGTCCAGAGCTGCGAGGCAGTCTTGAGATGAGATTGCTCGGTTCATTTAGATCTGTTATACTATGCCTGGTGATCTCCATGCCAATAAGCATAGGCGATTTTCATGAAGGATGAAGCCTTCAAAGTAAGTGAGTTGCTTGCCTGATTGGCTTACTCTGAAGTGAAGCCCTATCCAACCACACAATCGTAGTACAAATGAAAGAGGGAAAATTTCGCAGATGGTTGTTGTATGTCAAACAAATAACTCTATTAGCAGAGCCATTAATGTCGTAGGATAAAGGTTCAAATGGAGGAGCAAGTAACCTTCAGAAAAATTTCAGCTAGGCTACAACTGAAGGACCAAGCACTTCCGTAATTGAGCAATTTGAGTTAGTGTGGTAGACAGAAGGGAATTGGAAGTACAACGTGCGATATCTTCATTATATCATTCGGTGGAAAGTTCACAATACAAATCCGTTTGGCTGTGTGGAATAACGAAGATAGCCTGCTTAGTAGGTGGCACACTTTCATCAGTTGAGTGACTCTCGCTGCATTCATTATTTCAATCAGTTGTTTTCGCGCATTTGGTATCCTGAAGTGCTCATTCGAAAGGACTAGTAAGTTGCCACATAAAATATCTAATTATGAAGGAAATTCACTGATGGTTATAACAGAAGGTGAGTGTACGACACGAGGCGCCCTGCAACCAAATTTCAGATTTTATGTGCCAGACACTAGCGATGGCCACGCTCAATAATAAAGCTCACTAGTTTGTACCTAGATGTTTGAGTTGGTTCATCAGGGATACATCAACTGAAACTGTGGTTCTGTGCTCGGCTTTTTGTGAATGCTCAGGGGTGAGAAACTGTACTCCTTTTGTGCTGAACTTGGGCCGCTGCAATGCGAAAACCATGTTTTTCTCCATCTGTCTTCCTCAGGTTTTGCTGGATGCATTTCTCGGACGGCTACTGCTCCACTAGACCGAATCAAACTAACCTGGCAGGCAGCGGGCACCAAAGCTGCTCAAGTCGGTTTGGTCGGGACACTGACTCGCATGGTTAAAGAGGGTGGTGTTGGTTCGTTGTGGCGTGGAAACGGGGTTAACTGTATCAAGATTGCCCCGGAATCTGCCATCAAATTTCAAGCCTACGAACTGTACAAACAATGGCTAGGGCCTCGTTTCGGGGACAGCGAAGATGGCCCAGTGACTCTGAAGACTAAATTTGTGTCAGGTGCATTTGCTGGTGCAACCGCACAAACGATCATATACCCCATGGAGGTGAGCAGGCTTGGTTAACTTTTTCTTACGACGGCTGCGAACTTATGAATAGACTAATTACAATTTTTAACTTGTAATCATGCTACAGTTTGATAAATCAGATTCGGCCCACAGGTTGCAAGATGCGACACTTCTTACCAGCCTCAGCCCTTGCAAAACCTAACTGGATACAGTAGCTACAGCTAACGCTCTTCTCATTGACCCACGACATATATCGGCTGCATCCTAGCATGACAAGTCGATTGTTTCTATGCCTTTTGAGAATTCTGAGCAGCCCATGTGGAGGAGGTATGATCCAGCATATTATCGATTGTCCTGTGGCACCTCCAGGCAGTCTTCACTCTTACCAAGATGGTTGACTGGCCTTGTCGTTCCGGTCCCAACTTGCTGCGCATTGTTTGAATCCCAACTACCACACATTAGTCCTGTGAAATTTAACCACAGCATTCAAAGGTATCTTGTGCTGACCGATCTTAGTCCTCGAATGCATGGTATGATAACTTATATCTCATGGTGCGTATCGGCTTACGGGTCAGCCATAGTATTTCGTGCGGTTCTTTCATCTTCATCTACTTTGTTCTTTTGAAGAAGGCTCATGACGGAAAATCTCAAAATGTTTTTATTAAGGCAGAAGAGCAAGCGTGACTTCAGCACCAATTCAATAGAAATAGCTCATGTTTTGCTTTACAACATGCTATTTCTTGAGAATCGATACGTTTTCATTGTTCTATGCTAACCCCTATATACCAATATAGCTGACTTGTCAGGATGACCGCTTGTAAAACACTTTCACTGAGCTCGAGATTCGATTAAGGCAACGCGCAAAACGCAAGAAATATCGTCTGGCAACAGCATTACAGGTATGGGGATAGTCGAGTTATTTACCACTGTGCCTGCTTTACTTTGGCGCTGATACCTAGTCGTCAGATTTGCCAGTTATAGCTTAGTGATCTCTTCAATCAAGTGAAGACAAGAATGCGCTTTTATTCAACCGTGACGGATGAATTTTCAGCCCTAACACACAGACTATCCGATATAACAAAAAAGCAATTCAAAAGCGACAGAACAACAGCCAAGCAAAAGCTCAATTTTAACCACACTGGCAGGATTTACCGGCCAGTGCTTGAATAATATCGGTTTGCTCAAAGAGAAATCTGGCTAAATAAGAAATGATCAACGAACCATAAGCTTACATGCGGGCATACATAGCTCTGCACTTTTGTCTGGCCGATAAGGTAGATATGCAACTGGAAAGTGCAGTGTGCACAGGGTGACTAATGTCGGTGAGTATTTTTGAATCATGTTTAGTATATGAATTAACGTGCGTCGAAACAATTGTTTCTGCCAGAATTGGCTTTGGAATACTACTGCAGTGAGGCAAGTGGTTCAGTGACCTGTCAAGCAGCTTGAAATGCTTACATAGCAGGCCTGGGAAAATCACAGGAGTCCAGTGTGATAGAAGACACGCATTGATGAACTTCAGAATCAAATTGTATCGTACACAGGATGATGGTAATCGAGCGAAGTGAAACAAAAGTCGCCTGACTTTGGTGAATATATGAAACACGTGGAGTGACCGTGACAAATTGTGGCTCAGTATAACTACAAAATACTTGACAGATGTGCAGAAGCCAAAACTCTCACCTTCAGTCTGAGACATTCCATAACAAGTTCTTGATAACGAGCTGCTTTAGGAGGTGAAAAAAGCATGCCATTGCACTTGGACGCATTCAACGTCAATCAGCGGGAGTATAAACATTGCAGATTCGTCTAAACTACTTTGCAGCTTGGCTGAGGAGGTCGTTTGATGATTCACGCCAGTTATAACATCATTTGCATATTTCAAGAGAATAATTTCTTCTAGGACTTATATATAGCTAACGTAAGTAGAGGACAGGAATAACGACAAATTAGCTCCTTGGAGGACACCGGATGTTGTGGTAATTAGTGACGAGCTTTGCCGCCAAATCTTGTGACCTTAGTTCTTTTGACGAAATAACCCTTTAGCAAGAATACCAGACGCCTGTAGATCTTACAACTGTACTTGATAAAGGCAAAAGCGTTGCTGTAATCTAGAGAGCAGACACGTGTGGAATTACTTTTACTGTCTAGCGACGACATTCATGTACTAGACAAGCCTCTGCGTCTTGTGCGGATCTTGTACTGAAATCGGTCATTCCAGCGGGACGGTGCCAGCATTTTCGCAAGAATGATTTTCTCAAAAACCTTCAAAACCACGGAGGTAGATGCAATAGGCCGATATTTACCCGTCCCGCTTTTCGGTACTGACGTTATGGTTGCAATCCTCCAATCATCCGCGATTTTTCTTTCCTCTAAGCACATTGCATATAGGTCAGTCAGTGGCCGAGCTAAGTAATCAGTACACTGCTCAAGGAAGACGGGTGATATTCTGTCAAGTCCGCATGCCTTGCCTGAGTGCAGCTGGGTTAGCTTCTTTTGTAGCGATATGACATCGACAAGAGGCATTGAGACCATAGACGTCTGAAATGGTGCAGTTATTGAGTCGAAGAATAAATCACTGCTAGTGCAACAGAATTTGGGATTCAATTCTTCTACGTCCACATCAGCGTTTGTGCTTTGACAAGTGACTTCGCTGAGCTGTTGCATCATCCGCCAGAACTCACGATAACTGTTTTTTCCCAGAATTGTTCGGACACAGACATGATTGAGGTGATGCACTTCTGCCTTTACACGAGCAGAAAGGGACTTCACTAAAGTACGATCTTTGCTTTTGAAAGCTCTTTCATTGAGCGTACCGAAGTTGCTTGAGATGAGATGAAGAAAAGCGATTAGGAGGGATAAATATGCTTTCTATCAAGCAACACAGATCATAATAGTGGTTCAGATAACTAGTCATTTGATCACAGTATGTTGATATATCTATGCCGAATATCCAATTGAATTCCGTGGAAGCAACCATTTCTCTCAGCCGCGCTATGTATGAAGAGAGGGATTGTCTCCATTTTCATCAACAATCATCGCAAGGAGTGACATTTTTGTGCATAGCAGGACTATAGAATGATCTGAACTGCCAAGAGGTGTCCAATCGTAGACCAAAAATATTACTAACTTTTTAGCAAATACTAAATCCAGGGTTGCCTTTAACCTGGTGGGATATTTTATAATATTCTTTAGGTTGTGTGAGGAATGTGGTGTCAAATCTCTTGAAATCATTGGCAAATATATGAAAGAACTGGTCCATTGTCCCAATAACAACAGTTGTAAAATCATCATAAAGTTTATCAGCATCTGATTTGAGACGACTGGGTGATATATAGATATTGACCAGTACAATTGAGCGGTACCCATTCGGATATTTTGGCTTACACTTTATGACTAAGCAGTCGATATGTTGGGACGATTAGCATCTCTTAAAATTAATCACCCTCGATAGTAAAATGGAAACGAAAAGTTTTCACAGCACTAACGACTCAAGCTTGCTTTAGTCACTGCGCGCAGCGGGCATTTCAAATATCACTTTGCCGCGACGGGATGCCAAAACACACCCACTTTTCAAACCGAGACAGAGGGTACGTCGGCAAGGAAACCGCGCGCATTTTTGTTGCACCCGCGGCACCACAGCTATTATTCTGTAGAGGGATTCAGGTTGAAACTGCGGATGCACCCTGAATGCGCAATTAATCGGGAAACAAAATGTGGTGGAAAGGCTCATTACCGAAAAGCACAAATATAATGGAAAACTCTCACCACATTTTGTTCTTAAGTTAATTAAGGATCCTCTCACACTCGATGCCCCATTTCCCCGAGATCCTCGTCTGTGTTTGATACACACCGTTCGCAAGTCTCTTGCCAATGTACTTCTTAGATAGAGTTCCAAGGCCGAGGATGGGAAAACACGTCCCTTGTGGAAGTGACTGTAAATAAATCTTATTTGCTTCACATGCGGATTATTAAGCTGCCGCGAACAACCAGCGGTAGTATCTCAGAGTATTAGAAGTTCTTGGCTGACCGTCTGGTTTTCCCTTAAATACTACACCAACTCGTGGGGTCACGTACCCCTCAGTTCCTTAAACAGAAGTGAGCACATAACACAAACTCAGTGGTCACTAGCTTGGGTGTTGATTGCCATTTAATTATTAGGAAAACCTATTTTCTAATTGCTGCCTTGGTATTTAACGGTGAGTTCTGTGTTTCAGAGCACTTTACCTGGCCTCCGTGCTCGAGATTCTCGGGTGCCCTGAGTACTTTTGTCGATTCTGAATTCGGGTTATCTATAACTTTTTCATTGGCTCCAGACAATTCGCGATACACGTTGTTCTCTTCATTACCTGCTACTTTTTATGATTTAAGGTTCCAGGTGGGGTTCCCTAACTCAGCTCTCTTCCCCAATCTAGGTTGTTCTGTTCCCACACAAAATTATGGACAACTGACTACGAATTTCTGCTCTCTAGTTTAGCTTTCCTTGACCGAGGTACCGGCAGCCGTCTCCGCAAAACCATACACTGCAGTACGATCTACTACGGGCTTTGTTCCGAATATGTTAAACAACCACATTCTCGGTACTATCACTCTGATGCTTAGTCCCCAGCAATACACCACCTTTAGCGTCCGTTCTAACAGCGTTGATGGGTAGTTCAAGCTGTCCATATGCCACGCAACCATAAACACTGGACCTTTCTAGTCCTAGGTTCTCACTTCAATGTCTGGACACTCATGCAAGTAGGATCACGGACAGCTCCTGTTCGCATTCCGGAAACCGTCAAACTTGATATATGTTGCATCGCTGAGGCTGGCTTACAGGACGCGACTGCTAAAGCTGTGGGCCAGAACTGTGTTGACTGCGCCTGGGGACAGTCAGCACTACTTGACTTGGTCTCAGTTAGCAGCCGACTCTGAAAAATCCGACTAGACAACTCAATACTAATGTCAATCTACGAGGCTAATAGCGTTTTTGTGTGGCAGAGACCTATACTCCGACGGACTGCAGCTCAGACTCAGCTAAAGAGAAGCTTTCCCGT